ATGCAGTACCTCCGGATGTCCTGTACCTGATGTCTAGAATCTAGAACAGCCTCCTGTTATTCATGACACTAACTTGTGGAAGAGACAGAGCCGGCCATTCTGGAGAATGTCCTACCTCCTGGATTTGTCTCATATCCTCCTACTGGTGTCATTAAGTCTACTCCTCCAGCTCTTATAATTCCTGAAACTGGAGACTAGATCCAAACGTTTGGTTAGATCAAAGCAAGTATTTTGGCCAGGATTCATCACAAATGATTTGCTCTCATCTTGAACCACAGAGCAGCTCAACGTGTTCCCCACTGCTGAGGCTAAGCTTGAACACTGGGTTCAGGTGGCATTGGCTTGATCCTTCATTGTGCAATTACATTTGTGCCACCCCACACCCCTGATTCTGGGACCTAACCCCTCTTTCATGGTTCATGTGTAGGAAGAGAATGGCATGGCAAATCCTATATCTCTAAGGTTTATAATTAACAGTGGTGTTAAGTTTACTGGTATGATCATTTTCTTTGAGTGGATTAGAAATAAGCCAACCAGTTCTTTTTGAGAAAACTGTTATTAATCATTGAGACTAGATTTTCGAAATGTTCTGAGGGGGCATCAATTTCAATATCAGTTTTCCTCAAATTTTCAGGTGTTGCTGTTGGAATCAACACAGCATAAAATGATCATGTGCCCTGTACTCAAACCAACCTATTTTGGAGAAAGTTACAAAGTATCTCTCAGTCAGATTGTCTCATCTACAACATATTTCTAACATAGGGATATGTCTAACACAGGTACTAGAGCAGTTAACACACGTAATAAGTATATATGTTTGCTATCAAGGTCAGTCAAATTAGGGACTGTTTGAAAGATGTCATTAACATTCAAAGTAAACCAAGTATTTGGTGGTGAGATCATCCAACACTATTTCTCTCTCCAGAATTTCTATTTAGTTAACTGGATCTATGAATTTCCTATCTATAAAACATTGTAGCGTGTGTATATGTGTATTTACTGGGTTATCAATCATGAGGTCAGCAGCATGCTAACTGATTTTCATGTTAGTTACTAGGAAACCTACACCTTTGCCAAAAATATTAAGAACATTAAGGGTAGAGTAATAGCATATTTAACATTACTAGGTGCAGGATGGATTCCTGTAAATTTAAGATATAAGGAATTTTTAAATTATTAATATATTTCTATGGGGAAAAGATAGGTTTTATTGTTTAGATAAATGCATAGAAAATTTATAGTATCAGGCAGCCCGGATGGCTCAGCGGTTTAGTGCTGCCTTCAGCCCAGGGCATGATCCTGGAGTCTCGGGATCGAGTCCCATGTCGGGCTCCCTCCCTGGAGCCTGCTTCTCCCTCTGCCTGTGTCTCTGCCTCTCTGTGTGTGTGTGTGTGTCTCTCATGAATGAATAAATAAAATCTTTTTAAAAAATGTCTAAAAAAATTTACAGTATCTAGATACACTGAATATTCATTATATTTATAGTTATAGAAGTGATCCTAAAAATTTATAAGGTAGAATTCTTTCCTGAGAGCCAAAGATTTCTTTTACTTACATAAACAGTTCTTAAACACAGAGCGTGTTAACAAGCAATAGTCTATTAAATAGAAAGAATACAGAGATGGAATCACCAGGAAGACTATATTAATGTGGAACACAGGCAAGACCCAAGTGTTTACATCTTTCTTGAGCATTAGCTTATTGCTATCCTTTGTATGAGGAGATTCGTGTTTGGAAAAGTAACTGAAAAGAAAAATACCTCAAATATACAAGGCAGCAAAAATCCTCCATGAACCTATGTAACCACCACCAATTCAGCTTGGTAGACACTTGTCTCCTTTTGTTGTTGTTGTTTTAGATTTATTTATTTATTCATTCATGAGAGACACAGAGAGAGAGAGAGAGAGAGGCAGAGACACAGGCGGAGGGAGAAGCAGGCTCCATGCAGGAAGGCCGACATGGGACTCGATTCTGGGTCTCCAGGATCAGGCCCTGGGCTGAAGGCGACGCTAAACCGCTGAGCCACCTGAGCTGCCCAGACACTTGTTTTTAATGTAAGGTCTCTGATGCTCTGAGCTGATGTTGTTTGCCTTTCTTTCACCTGATTTTATAGTTATCTCCTGAGGTCACATTAAAGTAATATTCTGCAACTTCTCCTATTGTATAACTCGTTTGCTTACTTAATGGCACAGCACTTTCGGATGAGATCATTTTTAACGGCACATGGTTGATAACAGCGTAATTGTTGCTTGCCTCAATTTATGATTTTTTTTTCTTGAGCAAACTTCATCTCCCTCTTATTTGTTTGTTGAACTCCCAAAGGGAAACTACATCATGTCTCCCTGGAGTGGTGGTTACAATTTCTTTGTGAGAGGCTGTTTTTGTGGACTTTCATCTTTTAATGGTATCTGTAGATTTTAGTAGCTGGCAAACTTCCTAAACACAAAAGAAATTACTGTACTTTTGATACTTAAATTTGATGAACCCAAGACTTGGGGAAAGATAAAGAGCAGGAAAGGAGGCAGCCAGATGTTAGAAAATTGTCTTGCGAGCGTGTGTGTATACAGTGAAGTTTCAGATCGAGACATTTTAATCAGAGTTCTTCTTGTGCAATTAAAGTGAAAACATTTCCTGAGTCTTTCAAAACTCTTAAGAGCATAACTCAGAACTACAACATCATATTTTATTACGTGGATATGCCATAATTTACATAGGAATTTTAAAACTGTGAACACATCTTTCTTAGGGGTTTGTTTTTTTTGGCTATAAAATTAACATACAAAACCATTTTACTGAGGGGTCAGAATAAAAATCTTCTGGTACAAATTGCTTTTAAAAATACTTTTTTGCTTTTTTATTTTACTGTTCATTAATTTTTTTGTATTTTAGAGATTTTACCATAAAGATAATCAGGGGACCTTGTGTAACAAAAGAGGAAATTAGGCCCTCTGAGATTACCCAAAGTCCTAAAGTTGTACTGTTAAGTGAAAACCAAAATCTCTCTTTTTTTTTTTTCTTTTTAAAAGTCCATGCCTAGCATGGAGCCACCACAGGATTTGAATTCATGACCCTGAGATCAAGACCTGATCTGAGATCAAGAGGCAGATACTTAACGGACTGTTCCACCCAGGCACCCCAAGAACCAGAATCTGAGATTTATGGTTCCCAATGTAGAATTTTTTTCTCTCAGGTTATACTGTTTGCAAAATAGCCAGTTGTTAAAAAGAAAAAATACATATACAGTGCTGAAAGAAACAGAAATCAAGAGATGAAAGTTAATTATAGGGAAAGATGATGATGATACATTTTAGATAGATTCTATTTGAGGTGCCACAGGTACCTCACTGAAAATGCCCCCCAGGAGACTGTAAGACAGCAAAGTGTTTCAGAATCAGCTCTGTAGCCAGACAAGCTTTACCAACTAGTGGTGATGTAACGATAAGCAAATTATTTAACTTCTGGGTCTTAGTTTCCTCATCTGTAAATTGGGGGTAATATGGGGTTGTAGGGAGAATTAAATGAGTTAATCAATACCTATAAAGCTATTAGACCAGTGCCTGGCATACAGTAAGCATTCAGTGAACATCCAATATCACTACTGAAAATGGAGGAGATGGTTCTCCAGAGAGAAATCTAGGATACTGATCACTAAAAATGAATTTTTTCATGCGTAGGTTGTGTCACAAACTGATATTCGCAATGAAGGGACCAATCTTTTATAATCTAACAAACAATTCCCTTGACAACAGAATTGTATAACTATTCTGTGTCTATTCGAAGTAGGAACTAAGCCTGGGGATTGAACTAGTCAGATGATGCTATTTATTTGGTCTTTTACTATGAAAACAAACAAACTTTATACAGATTAGTCAAATAGGCTTAAGAATGTTTTGGAACAGGATCAGATATAGAATCAATTTCAGTGTTTATTGGGCATTGCTGTTATATATGTAGGTCAAATAGCTTTACAGAAAATAACTTAATAAATCAATGTATTATATCAGAGCACCCCTATTCCACAAATTTATTTTGTGGTCAAAGGATAAGAAAGTGGGCAACACTAGGACTTTTACAAGTGAACTGCCAAGGTTGGTGTGGGAATAATTTCCATAAAAGAAGGACAAAGAATACATAGCTTTATCAAAATCATATGGCAATTATTTGACTTCAACAATCCTGAAATTTGTTGTTGTTTTAGAGGAGGGGAAGGGCAGAGAGGATGAGAGAGAATCTTTAGCTAGGCATGGAGCCTGACGTGGGGCTCCATCTCATGACCCTGAGATCATGACCTGGGCCAAAACCAAGAGTCAGACACTTGACCAACTGAGCCACCCAGGCGCCCCAATCCCCTAATATAATTTTAGAGAAACTTTTGGGCTTGTTATACCACTATTTAGAATCACCAAAGAATGGGATTAAAAATCCAAAATTACAACATATTATTCCAGAATAATCACAACTCAGGCAACACAGAATGGTAATTTTCATACTGCTCTTTTATTGCATAATGTTTCATTTCCACATCCTACATGGGAATTATTTCCTTTGCACATTAATAAACATCCTCTGTTCTAAGCACATACCTAACAAATAAACCAAAGTCAAAAGTTGAGATAATATTTGGGGAGAGGATCTGAACTTCAGTGAAAACCTAACAACGAGTTTCAGCAGACAACTTCAGTAAGTCATCTAACCCTGTGACTGACAGTTTTTGGTCATTCATTCATTAGCTGGGAATAACGTGAAGGGGACCAATGAAAAGTAGTAAAAGGCTGAGATTCTCAGGGATATAAAATTAGTCGACTTCAGACACAAACAGGCTAGACCTTTAATAAGGACATATAAATTCTCTTTGGAGAGCCTACAGCCTAGTACAAAGATCACAAGGTGGCTTTTTCAATTTGTTTGAGGAAATGTGCAATTTAAACACACAGGCACCTGTCTCTGGGTGTGGAAATAATAGGTTCCAAAAATTAAACAAAATAAGAATAAAAACAAACCTCAGGCCCAGCTGCCTGCAGATCACTTCAGCATCCGCTTCATCCCACTGGTCATCACAGATGGTCCCCCACTGACCAGCGTGGTAGAGCTCTACTCGGCCTTCCCATGCGCTGCTCCCACCCACAAGGCGGATGGCTGGGAACACTGGGCCTGTGCCGTGTGAAATTAGAATCAAATTATACCTAGACATGCACATTGACTGGTAAGATTATATACATATATTAAATTGATATGCCATTCTCAGTAAAATTAAATCATATTTATTAAGCCATTTCAGAGATTTGGACATACCCTCACACATCTAATACATATTATGGTATCCCTGACCAATTAAAATACTCCAAACTGGGGACAACCAGCTGGCTCAGCGAGGAGAGCAGGCAACTCTTGATCTCAGGGTTGTGAGTAGTTAGGTTCCCACACTGGGGGTAGAGTTTACTTGGTAATAAAAAACATTTTTAATAAAAATTAAATACTCCAAATTCAATCACATTCATACAACTAGCTCTTAAGAGGAAGTAGTCTAAGTTCACTTTTCCTCCAACTACCTCAGAAAACCAGAAAAGACATACTCAAAACTGTAGTTTACTGAAAACACATTTGATTTTTATGGTACTGTAACAGGTGACACCGATTTTTTTATTTACAGGAACTTGAGCATTACCAACATGTAATTCTTAAGAATGGCATTAATGTCCCTGTAACATACTTGTTTTCAGGACAGAAATATTTTTATATTTGTAGAAATCAAGTTCAAGTCAACATCTAACTCATTATAATGAGGTAGTGACCAACATGGTCAATATCTACAAAAAACAAGATTGAGAATTCATTTGGATATGAAACGGTTGTATTCATTTTCTACAAATGACCAAATGCTTCCCACTGCAAATTCCTTACTAGGGTACACAATGCCCTGATCCAGACCTTGTCAGCTCCCTGAACATCTTTCTCTATCCCTGGCCTCCTTCACCAGGCTGCACCTACAATGGATGTCAAGAACCATTTTGGTTGTGAAAGCTCTGTAGCTTACCACAACACATAGTGTTTTCCCTCCACTGGTCACGTTCAGCTAGTGTTAAGGCTGGCAGTACTGGTCCTAAAGAATTCTGGGAAGCCTGGGTGTGGATATTATGGACTATTCTGGAAAGTATTCAGAATACTTTCAGTCAGATGACACAACTTGAAGCAACAGTGGCAGCAAACGTCACATAGTTGGAAGTCACTGGGGATGTAGGGTGGGGATTTTAGGAAGTACATAAAGTAACAACACTGACCACTCCCACTGTGCCCTCTTCTTTCTGTCCCCAAAACACTCAAGGCTGATTCCCATCTCAGGGTTTGTATGCTTCCTGTTCCTTCTGCTTGAAAAATGTTCCTGCAGCCTTTCCCCTTGTTGCAGCCTCTCTTCATTCAGTTCTCAACACTCAACTGTCCTTTGTTTAGGAGGCCTGCCCCGGCTACCCTAGCTAATGCAGCACCCGATGGTACTTTCTACTACATTGCTTTCTGAATATCTACTTTATTAACATTTTCATTGATTTCTTGGTTTTTGCGTCCATTGTCTGTGTCCTAACAGCTAGAACTCAGGACAGAGACAGTACCAAATTCTTTCACTTGCGTATCTCAAGTAGCCAGCACACAGAAGGCACATAATAAATATTTGTTGACTGACTGGACTGACAACTATAGCTAAAAAGCTAGAAAGACTATCCCAAAGAAGAAAAAACAATTAGCAATATTCATTCACTTGATTCTGTTTAACAGATACTAGGCCCCCGCAGGGGCATTCAAAGGAGCACTGGGCAGACCTCAAGAGTTTTATCACCCAAGGACAAGATGAGGGAAGAGAAGAGATCATGGAGACTCAACAGGGGTTCAGAAACAAGGGAGCTTGCTTACTACTGGGGGTAGTCTGGAAATCTCTTCTGAAGAAGACAGTTGTGAAGAGGGCCAAGGTGGATGGATAGGATTCCAGAAGTCAGAGAGAGGGTAAGTGCTGTTCAGGCTAAATGAACAGTATGAGCAAAAGGACAGAAGTACAAAGTTGAATGTGTTTGGGAAATAGTGAGACAGTGTAATTTTTCTGGAATAAAGGATGCAATATGGTAAGAAGTTCAGAACACGCTGCGCCTCTACTCAGAAATTTAATTGTGGCTTTTGCCGAATGCTAATCATTCATCGACGTGAAATATGCTTTTAATTCCCCCACAGTGTAAGCAGCTGTTGGTAAATGGTATTGGAATATGAATATTTATATTCAAATAGCATACTTAAATTTTGCAGCAGATTCAGATTAGTGAATATTTACATATACTCATATTCTGATCTTCACAATTTAGCTTATTTACATAAATCAACTAATACTTATAATTTATAAAGGGATATAGTTTTAATAAACATAAGTGTTCTCAGTATTGCATATTAGCTTCTTACAATTAACTGATGGCTGAATGATGCTAAGAAATTTAAATTTGCATGTTTTTATTTTTATTTTTCCCTTACAAAGCTTGGAAAATATAGAAAATAATGATGGGAAAATGTATACGTTTCTTAAGTTATTATATTCTCCAGTGCCTCTCTTCCCTCTGCCACTGTGGTAAGCTTGGAGAAAACAGAAAAACAAAAATTTTAAAGAGGAAATTTTAAATCACCTACAACCCAGAACACCATATGGCATATTACCTTATATTTTTTAATGTCATGCTTTATTCTAAAACATGTGGGCTTGGGGCACCTCGATGGCTCAGTGGTTGAGCATCTGCCTTTGGCTCAGGTCGTGATCCCGGGGTCCTGGGATCGAGTGCCACATCGGGTTCCCCTCAGGGAGCCTGCTCTCCCTCTGCCTATGTCTCTGCCTCTCTCTCTGTGTCTCTCATGAATAAATAAATTAAAAACAAACAAACATATGGGCTTTTTCTGGCTACATAAGTAACTGTGAATATACAGAAAAGCTCAAAGATAAAATTTCATCAACATCCCACATCCTCCCAATAAGCATGCAAAAAATCATCTGAAAGAGAATTCAGTGAGGTAGTTGACTCCTGTTTAACTTATGGATGATTAAAACTCCCAGACATGTTCATTTAAATTACTACTTCCTGGGACGTCTCAGTGGCTCAGTGGTTGAGTGTCTGCCTTCGGCTGACGGCATAATCCTGAAGTCCGGGGATCAAGTCCCACATCGGGCTCCCTGCATGGAGTCTGCTTCTCCTATCTTTGTGTCTCTTTCTGCCTCTCTCTGTGTCTCTCATGAATAAATAAATAAATTTTTTAAAAAATTACTACTCCCTCTATCCAATACTGCTGCACAATCTCCTACTTTCTAAGTGTTGGAAATGCAACAAGTGAGAGATGACAAGACACTGAATGTAATTTCCAAATCAAAAAATAAACGTATTAAAGAGCTATCACTGGGCCTTGAAGTAGATGTAGTGTTTGATCTATCTCCTTTCACATTGTCACTTGATCTTTTTTCATTCTCACTTCTAACTTATCTCAACCATATTTTTATATATACTTATAAATGACCTTAAACTTGTCTTTGCAAGCAGAGTATAAATAGGTGGATAGATGATAGAGAATAGAAGGAATTTTTTTAAGCAGATATATACCCTGAAAGAAAAATAATTATTGTTTTCAAGGTTTTATTTACTTCAGTACTTGAAAAATGTTAAACATTGTGTATCAATCAGATAGAACATAAAGTACAAGCAATAATCTACAAAAAGCAATGCATTATTGAGCCCAATTCACATCATCCACAAAGCAGCGACACATAAACATATACTGCCCAAAGGAGCACACTACCCAAAAGTGGAGAATCAAAGGAAGAAAAGGAAAAATTTACAAAAAAAACAAGATTTAACATGCACTTGGCCCACACAAAAAGGAACTGTGGTTCTCAGAGCACATACCTGTACCCTATCTTCTGATTGGTTCTTCCAGCCAATTCACAGGAATTACTCTAAATTGAGTCTTTGTGTGTTTTGTGGTGAGAGAGTTTCCAATCTTCCCCTGATACTTGCACTCCAACAGAAACCAATGCCTTGGGCTAGCTGTTAGCTTTTTAAGACCTGGGAAATCCGATCATGCTGCATCTCCAAGGAGAATGTAAAAAGGGCTGATATGACTGTGTGCTAGTCTCAGGTTGTGGTCACCCATTAAAATACACCATGGTTCCCAGGAAACCCATCAGTCATCATGAAAAGCAGCTGCTCCCTTCTCCTCACATGTTTATATGAACATACGCTTACTTTTGTACTGAAATCATACTGTTCATCATCTCATAGCTAATACATGGTGCTTGGAAGGAGCTTTATCAAGGCAGTTATCCATATTATGGAACGTACTATTGACAATTCAAAGAAGAACACTGCTACCATGATTATATTCTATCCTATCAAGTGAAAATATTTTGTTGTAGTTGCAGTGTTTTCTATTTGGTTCCAAGATGCTTTTCTATCTTGATTCTATCATGACCTTCCATTAGCAAAATAAATGCTTCATGTACAATATACAATATTTCTGTATGCAAGTTAGATAAAATAGAAAACATGTTACGAGTGAGATTCCACTTGAAAGTTGAATAGAATTCAGAATGTTAGATGCACTCCTACTGAAGACTATTTGACTACATAATATGATGATTCAGATTTATGTATGTATTTAAATTCTTTGAGGAAATGATTCAACGAAGACAATTTTATCATCTGGAGTCTTGTTGAAAACACAATGAAAGTAAAAAAAGAGACTCTTTTTACCCTGGGAAAAGCTACACGTGACAGCAGCTGCCATCTTCTGAGGACACGCCCCACCCTGCCAGATGTCTTTTTCACAAAGCAGTATATTTTCTTCATCTCCTCGGCAACGGACATTGCTCCAATAAATGGGAATAAGGCCCAGTCCAGAAAACGGGGTTTGTTTTGCTACTCCTTTTCCTCTGGAAACACAATGATCAAGGTTAGGTTCATTGAATTTGGTGAGTTTTTGGTCAAAATATTTAGGTTTTCTACTATGGAAGAAATCAGTAAAGATAGATGTGGGAGGAAAAGAAAAACATAATGGATTACATAAGTTTCAAGGAAATCAAAACATCAGATCAGAACTTGCGTTGATTACCCATGGCAATTTTTTTAGGCAATCTTAAATAACTAATGGTATGCATGTACCTTTCCTACTGATAGCTGCTTTTAGAAAAAAAAAAAATAGATGGGCAAATACTACAGATTTTAAAAAGAAGCCTGGTGGTTTCGTGGAAGAAATGTGTTCTGTGGCTCAGTGAAAAATGGATTCCAGTCTGGACTCAGCTGCAAATTACTCTTAGCTACAAGTTTCTGTAAGCTCTGCCTTCTGATGTATAAAAGGAGGCGTGGCCTGGATGCTTGAAGATTTTCCTACTCCAACATTTTAGGCTATCATTTTCAAAATGATTATTACCACATAGAAGTAAGATAATATCAAGAGAGGCAATCCATTCACAATTTTTAAAACCTTATATAAAGGGTTTGCTAGCAAGACTTTGAAACCAATTAATAAAACAATGACACATAAATGAGCTCTGCTTTTAACACCTCTAATCTACATATTTTTAAGTAACCTCTGATTTGTACAAATCGATAGTAGATTTTAAAAAGATTAAAGGCTTATCTGATTAACATGGTAAGGTCTAGAATTGTCTCCATGCAATAGCTTCCACCAACCAAAGAGTAAACATTTGGAATATATCTAAAATATGAATGTGTCTTAACAGCAATAATTCTGAGCTGCCCTAATGATATAATACTTTTTTTAAATGGACAACTAAAAAATAAAAATAAATAAAAATGGACTACTAAGTGGTGCCTGGCTTGCTCAGTTAGAGAGCATGGGACTCTTGATCTCTGGGTTGGGAGTCTGACATTGGTTTAGAGATTACTAAAAACCAAAACGAAACACAAAACACAAAAAAAGTAACTAAGAGATGATATAAGTAATCAGATCAGTTTACCTGATGTTTCCATTTGCAGAATGATACTTTATATTCTTTCATCAACCTAAAGACTAGTTACGACACTGAGGTTCACATGTCCCCTATAGTGTTTTGTTTTTTTTTAATGTCAGAGTCCCATAGGAAATCATATTCTTCCCTGATTTTCAGGAGTTTTAAAAACACATATAAATGTGTACTTTAAGGAAAACACTGACATCAATCTACAAATCTGTCACATATTGAGGCCCTCAAAAGAGAAAGCATCAAGTCAACTCTTTGTGCCCTGTCCACCTGTCAATGACTAATTGCCAGACAAAATATTCATTGATCAAATCAATAATTAACATTCCCAAACACCATAACACTTTATAGGCTTTATAAGCCTTACTCCTTCTTTCATCTTGACTTATGCTAACACTCATTTTTAAAAATTAGTTAATTAATTAAGTACATTAAGCCTATCTGCAACTTTAAAAGTTTCAAGTCTAACCAAAACTTAAGCCTTCAAGGTCTGTCTTTACCAAATACCCACTGCCCACCTTCCTAACCAGAAGACAGGAGGAAGCAAGCAAATTAGAGTTCTTAGCTATAGGACTGCACTTAACCAACCTTTTTGTTTCTACCATTGTATTAGATATCACCACTGATTGGTTATTAATTCAAAATATTTGTAAACTGCAAAATTGTTTTCAGTCTTTTGGACTTGCCTGCTCATAACAAGATAGTTTCCATGCTTTCTAAAGATCCCTAGTGAGAAAGGCCAAGAGAAACATCTGGCAAGTGTACTTAGAAAAAAATAAATGAGACACAAAAACAGAATAAGAGCCACCACAAAAGCAAAGCCTTTTACTCCAAAGTGGAGCCTTCTGCTCCCAGTGAAACCCCCTCACGCCTGGTGTAAAGGTGCCCGGGCTGGAGGAAGGTAGAGAGCACTGACATTTCACAGAGAGCTCTAAGAGCTGCGGCAGTGCCGGGGCTGATGGAGGCGGCCACCTCTAGCAGGACCTCCTCGGACAGGACCCCGGGCCTGGACACCAGGCCTTTCCCACCTCGCCATGAGAGCACAGGGGAATGTCACCTCCTTTCTGCACAAAAGAAAGGGAAGTTGTTGGATCGCTAAAAGTAGACGGGGAAATGCAAATGACAATGACAGCAGCCCGGGGCTAGGTGCACTACTGAGAAGTGACCACCCTCGGAATCACATCCCCAGCTTCCTAGGTCTAAACGATGATTTTTAAAGACGAAGACCAAAGGATGCTTTTAACGTTTGACCACGCTGCATTTGCTTATTTGCTGGTCAGCATTCCTCCCCCTTGGGGCCTTTTCTTTATAACTCTGGTGAAAAGTGAGAATGAGGGAAGTGAGAGGGAAGGAAGGCAGGCGTGCATCATCTCTCCATAGTAGTGATGGGAGCCGGGTCATTCTCAGATCGCAGCCCGACTGGTTTGCTCAAGGATGGGCAAACTCACCCTAGCTGCAGCTGGTGACAAATGACTGATGCGTCCAAATCGTCCCAGTGGCTGCCACAGACTGTGCCCCAAGCTCCATTTGCATATATTTCCACTGTGCCTTCAAACTCGTGTTTGCCGCCTCGAAGTCGTACTGACCCTGAAGTAGGAAAGAATCCCAAGACCCTTTAACAGCAAATAATCATTTGAACCAGTCTAAGTTAACATGATGTTTCCACATAAGTGGTGAGAGATCAGCCAGAACAATTTGGCCTCCGTGGTCATAGCACATGCTTCCTTCTTTAAATGAGGATTTAGGGCAGGCCCGGTGACTCAGCGGTTTAGCGTCTGCCTTTGGCCCAGGGCATGATCCCGGAGACCAGGGATCGAGTCCCACGTCGGGCTCCCTGCATGGGGCCTGCTTCTCCCTCTGCCTGTGTCTCTGCCTCTCTCTCTCTCTCTCTCTGTCTCTCACAAATAAATAAATAAAATCTTTAAAAATTTATATTAAAAAAATTAAAAAATGAGGATTTAGCAGATTCTTGATTTGATTTGATTCATTTTATTTTATCTTTATTTTTTTGGTAATTCACATTGTGGTGTCAATACTATTTATGCTTTCTTTTTTAGTTAAGCAAAGTCCAATTATATTTTAAAAGGGGAAAAGTGGAAGACTATGAATAATGTCTGATATTACATCCCAAATATTAGATGACATCATATACCAAATTCTTATCATGTACATATCACCTTCCACTTCACATGAGGTCAGAGATAAGAAGCACAGAAACAAAATTCAGTGCTCCACTTATAAATTAGCTGCTATGGACTGTGTTATTTATTCCTTCCATCTGTTGTATTCATCACTAAAGAGCAAGATGCCTTTTCCCCTTTTAACCTCAAGCAGGGGTCATGAGAATTCTAAAGATTATGTCTATAATTTCAAAAAGGCATTGGTGTTAAAAAAAAAACATTGCTTAACGTCAGTCTCACTAAGTGGAACCGTTTGGTTTAACTGAGTACCCCTGGAAATTCACCTCCCCTTTCATACCATCCTCATTTAGTTGCTCCAGGGTCCATGATTTGAGTCATTATTTGAGTCTTGAAAAGAGTCAAAATTAAATGCAAGCACCCCAGGGAAAATAACATCCCTTAAGTGCAGATGGATGAAGGTCCTGCCTTTCCCTTCTCATTAGCACTGGCTTGCATAGTGGCTACTGGGAGGCCACAAGTGGGACACATAAACAGAGACAGAATTAAACTCAGACAGCTGAAGAATTTCACAAAATTCTATTAAAAGTCACTTATGATATGGCCTTCGTTTCATAGGCAAAGAAATAAAGAAATTCAGTTCTACCAAAAAATTCTGTCAAATTTTTCATATTCCAAAATTATTTCATTTCTGGCTTTAAAATAATTTTCCAAAATATTAGATTCACAAATTACCCATTCATTTCATTTACACTGGCCTCAGCATCTACCACTATTATTTTCCAAGTCATTGTCATTTAAAAATGTAACTATGTAAGAAACACATGTTGTATGTCTCATGACGAATACAAAGTGTCATTTAATTCAAACAAAAGAATGATAAATGGAAGCAAAACATTACACTGCCAAATCCTGATTATTCTGGAGAGAGCATGGGCATGGATCATTCCCATGGCAGATAAATCTCAAAATCATACATACATTCCAAACCTCTTTAATTCAGACTAAAGCAAGAGGAAGCCCTGTTAAGCTCAATGAACTGCAAAACAGTTTTGTTTTTTTTTTAAGATTTTATTTATTTATTCATGAGAGACACAGAAAGAGAGAGAGAGAGAGGCAGAGACACAGGCAGAGGGGGAAGCAGTGGCCATGCAGGAAGCCCGACGCGGGACTCGATCCTGGGTCTCCAGGAACAGGCCCTGGGCTGAAGGCGGCGCTAAACCGCTGAGCCAAAAAAATAATAATAATAAATAAATAAATAAATAAATAAATAAATAAATAAACAAACAAACAAACCGCTGAGCCACCCAGGCTGCCCGCAAAACAGTTTTAAAGAAATAGGTCTGAAGGGTTTAACTGAACTTTAATTTTTTAATCACAAAATCTCTTTACAGAGACCTACACAAGATCATGTATACTGCAAATGCCAGCATTTTATTTCAACCCAAAAATGCATTTGCTCGCCCCAAACAAACATTACTTGAAATGATATTTAAGTTAATCTATTACCTCTTTATTAATCCCCTTCCTCCAAATTACTCATGTCAAAGGGTTGGAAGGAAATTCTAGTAATGAAAACCAACTGGAGCACTACTCAATGCACATTAAAATATCATAATAAAATGTAAAACACTGCCTAAATCACCAAAAGCTAACAAGAAGAAATACGGCATGCATAACACCTAAATGACTAAGGCATTTACTGATAAGACACAGAAAACTCTGCATAAAGCATAATTATTACCCTCGCATCATTATAATGGCAACAACAGAGCTGGAAATAGTTTCCAGGTGAACTATCAGTTCCACCACCATTTCTCAGATTCGTCAAACTTGCTGTGAATGCCTGGATTCATTTAGCTGTCTCTGCTATATGGCAAGAAAGGTGGAGAGCTCATCCAATTTTCCTTTGACAAATGAATCCAAATATTTGCAATGCTGGAAAGTCAATTTGCATGTCAATGACTAATGAATTCTCTGTCAGAATCCATTCCCAACCCGGACTTCCCCAACTCACACACTTTCCTAGTAGGGCTTCCCACTTCCCACCCCCACCTCGTTTAGCCTTTCCTTCCCGTCACAAAAAAATCCTAAAATATTTTGAGAAATTATCTACTTTGGACCCAGAATGAGTAGTTCTTAATGGTATATAATTCTATGAAATGCATAATTCTTCAAATAGTTATTTGAAAGAGCAATTTTAAAAAATCAGCATAATAACATACTTCAAAATAATAACAGTTGGAGCATACAATTTACATTACATACATTTAAGATCAGTAGCAGTTTTGTTTTGGTTTCACTTTGTTCTTGCTTCATTTATTTTCTCAGAATGGTTGAGATGGTCAAAATCTCAAAAACTGTAACTCATTTCCCTCAGTTTATGGATGAGGAAGATCGGGACCAAAGCAATTGCCATGACCAACTATTCCCTAGATTCCAGTCTTTCCTACTGATCTTCTGTCTCCAACACCTCCTAGATTCCTGTCCTTGCTACCTTTGCATCTCTGAACCCAAGCAAAGACTCTGTGAGGTCTTTGCATTTTATGTCTTTTTCATGTCTGTGCATTTTATGTTCTTCACATAATGCACTTAATGCATTATGTCATGTGGTTTTCACCATTTTATCTGAAATACTGCAACTAACCTACCAACATTTTATGGGAATAAATAGCCAGGCAGAATTTTAAGACAGTCTGAAGAGGTTTTATGCACCACAAACAGGAGAAAATTATCTTTCCAATGATCTACATTTGAGGCTGACCCTCCAGTGGAGGAGTCCCACAGGCTGTATAAATTTATAGGACTATACATTTGCACAAATTTTCAGGTACACAATTACAAAGTGAAGGAAGGAAAATATCCTTAGCTCAGTTAAAAAACAAAAAACAAGACAAAACAATGAAGCACAAAGGACAAAGCCTAATAAACTCATTTATATTGCTATCCTAATAAAGCTCTTTATTTTTTAAAGATTTATTTATTTATTTATGATAGACATAGAGAGAGTGAGAGGCAGAGACACAGGAGGAGGGAGAAGCAGGCTCCATGCTGCGAGCCTGATGTGGGACTCGATCCCGGGACTCCAGGATCGCACCCTGGGCCAAAGGCAGGCGCTAAACCGCTGAGCCACCCAGGGATCCCAATAAAGCTCTTTTATCATCAAAAATTGATCCCTCTTTGTTCCCTCACATTTTCCTACTCTCGCCAAGCACTTTTCAATGTTCCTCCCCAAGGCTCAGCTAATGTCTCTGGAACTCATGGACTGTTTTAAAGTCTCTCAAGTGCCAATTTCATGCAAACTGTTCTATTCTAAATATTCCTATTTTTTAAATGTGTTAATAATAATAATTTACAATTTGAAGTCTCAAACAGAGGTTACAGGTCAACAATAAGAGGCATTACAAAATCATAAAACAAAACTTCCTGAAAGAAAGTTTGGAACTGGGGATCCCTGGATGGCCCAGCCGTTTAGCGCCTGCCTACGGCCCAGGGCGTGATCCTGGAGACCAGGGATCGAGTCCCACGTCAGGCTCCCTGCATGGAGACTGCTTCTCCCTGTGTCTCTGCCTGCCTCTCTCTCTCTCTTTCTCTCTCTCTCTCTCTGTGTGTGTGTGTGTGTGTGTGTGTCTCATGAATAAATAAATAAAATCTTTGAAAAATAAAATAATAATTCTTTATTTAAAAAAAAAGAAAATTTGGAACTGTAAAGCTATGTGTGATACTGATAAAGTTTTGGAATATAGGTGAGGTTTGGTGGGGTGAGGTCTGGAGCTGACAACCAGGAAAAAAATTCTTGAGACGTCTTTGGTGCAAAATGGTGGTTTTATTAAAGCAGGGAGATAGGACCCATGGGCAGAAAAGCTGATGCTCCAGGCCTCCAAAGGGTGGCTGATTATATACCAGGGAGTTGGGAGTGGTTTGAGGATAGCATACTCTCTAAGGAATTTTGGAAGCAAGGTTTCCAGACTTTGAGGGGCTAGCTATTGTTGGGAAAAGGCCACTTATTACTGTCTAATAAAACCCTAGTTATGAGACCTTTCAAATGTATGTCAGCATCCCCCATATGCTTGGGGGATGACTGCGAACATGTATCTTGGGGGTTTAGAGATAAAGGGAAATTTTTTTTTATTTTTTTTATTCATAGAGATGCAGAGAGAGAGAGAGAGAGAGGCAGAGACACAGGCAGAGGGAGAAGCAGGCTCCATGCAGGGAGCCTGACGTGGGACTCCATCCAGGGTCTCCAGATCACACCCCGGGCTTCAGGCGGCGCTAAACCGCTGCGCCACCGGGGCTGCCCGATGAAGGGAAATTTCTAAAGGAATTTTTATATGTTAAAGTAGATTTATAGGATCCTCGGGGTTGGGCTAAGATTGCTTTTTGCCCTTAGCAAAGCATTAACATTGAGGCAGTTGAGTCCATAGAGGAATGTCCCTCGGCCTGTTTCAA